GTCGAGGTGAGAACTCAATTGATACATTGTCAAGTGGTCCCATAATCGAATGTTCGGCACCGTTCGTATCCAATGTCTTCAATTTTCCTGGTGAAAGTGAGCCAAGCTCCTAGACTCGTCTAGATCTCAAGGTTCTGTTTGAAGATTATTTCGTCCGACATTGCTGTGGATCAGCTCAGCCGTTTTGTTAACGGTTTGACTGTCCATCAAAATGTTGCATTCAGTCTTTAGGTCATGAAGTGCTGGAGCTCTCGTGGACCATGCACTGTTCTTTGATAGAACTGATTCTTTCCCTTGGACGCTCGTTGGGAGTAGCCGTAACTTCAATAGACCACCATAGCTGAATGCTAGGATAGCAAATTAGCTCGATGGAGTCATGTCCCTGTGTAGAGGAAGAGCAATCATTTCTTCCCTTTCTTTCGACCCTTTTCCGCGGCCCCTGTAGACTCCTTGACGAACCCACCCTTGATCAATGCATCCCGACCGACGGCGTTGATGATTCGAAACCGGTCCGGCCCAAGGAGAATCCCACCGTACCATCGCGACACAACGACAATCACATCCCACACATCCATCAACTGCATAAGGTGGAGCAATCGCCCACCCGCAGCCGTCTCCCCGTCATCGTCGCAGTCCTGCACAATCATCTCTGTGGACTCGCCCTTCCCGTTGGCCGGTCTCTGTTGTCTAATACGCCAAGCGCTGATATTGTGCGTCGCAGCAGCAACCTTCTTCTCCGTCGCCAGAAGATGATCCAGATACCCCTGAGCCTGCTCCAGACTGGTAACATGCGCGGCCCGTCCCACAAACACCGATTTCTTCTCCGTCACCACATCCGACAACACCCAGTCGGGGGGACTGTCCAGCCCAAATGCATCTTGCAGTGAGAGGGTCGCAATATCCTCTGCGTCCAGCGCGGAGGACTCCCTTGTCTCTGTCTCTGCTCCCTTCTTCTCGCTGTCCTGGTTCGTATTGCTGCTGCTGCTGTTGCCGCCCAAACTGAGCTCTTGGAACGCCTCGACCGCTTCGTTGATGACATCAAACAAGCAAACAGCGCCGGGCTGGTATGTCCTCCCTACAATATCCTCCAGCACATCCACGGCTATTTTGCCCTCACCCCGTGCACCGGTGGATGCCGTTCCGAGAATTTTCGGCGGGGTATCCGGGTATGACGCATCGAAGCCGAGGAGAAAGGATAGATGGGGGTGATCGGGGATTTGCAGTTTGACCGTAGTGCTTGACAAGTCGCCGGGTCCGGAGCCGCCCAAGTCTAGCGTTGAATTGGCTGTTGTCGCCGACACTGATGTTGCTGCGCGGTGTACGGTGATGGTGTCGGGTTCGTAAATCGCATTGATGGCTTCGATCTCTTCGGCGAGGTCAGTATTCGGAAGCGATCCAAGCTCTGATGTCATTATGTCCGTAGCCTTAGGATGAGGTATCTAGACAATTGCTCGAGGCGTATAGACCATGGGTCGTAGTTTTCATGGTGAATCAGTTCGCAGTCGGATGGTCACATGACGTGGCTCGTGAGTTTGAGATAGCTTCCACTCTGCAATTATTAAAGCAATTAGGGATGATTTTTCGGTGACACTATACGCAGAAACTGTGTTCTTATTTTGACTTCATTGCATATTAAGCATTTTCAAACCAATGACGCTCCTTTAGAGGGGATGGTAGTGGCCAGTTCACAGTTGTTTTGGCATTGCATTTACTCCGCAAACATATATTTTGGTGTAAGGGTAAGGCACTACGTCTGCATAACATGCTAATATCACTATTATCAAGGATGACTTGAGCATGGCTTTATGAAGGAAAGTATCTCATAACTGGGCTCTTATCTCTTGACTAATACTGAAATTGCTCAACCAAATCGCTTTGATGCTATCATAAACAATCAACAACCAATTCCCATCATATTTCCCACGCCTTCTACCTGCAAATTCCTGAACTTCTGCGATAATTCCTCAGTATCATCCAAGCCATCCAGATCCTTCCTTTGCCAGAATGCGCGGAAACCCTCCACTAATCTCTTGGTAATCACCGCCACATCCTTCTCAGGCATCGGGGCAAAACATAGGCGGAAGTACTGCCAGGCTTGATCCAAGGCCTTCTCTGAGGGCGCAAACAAGTCGCCAGGAACCATAAGACACATAAAGGGCTCCTGTGTCATGTGCACCCACAACGCCTTGGACAGCGTTTCGGGCGAGTATTTCTCATACAGAGGATGGGTATTGAAGAGGACCTTGATCCAGACAAACATCCCCCCCATGGGCCAAGTGAAGTCATACAATTGAACTTTGTCAATCACTTCCCAGCCACTTTCCTCGCTCGACTCGGAGGGCTCTGATTCATTGCCTTTGATGACATACTTGCCTTCTTCAAGACTGATGCACATGGCCTGCATGCGCCGCTCATATGATCCTCGAAGGCCCTCAAGCCAGCGAACCCAGCCATCCATCTTCCAGCCTGATTTGTTTTTGCCTTGGGGGCCACTGACATCTTCATCACCTTGTTGACCTAGGATCATCCCCGACACCATGGCCTGGACAAAACCGGATGGGAATTGTGTCGAAGTCTCAGTGAGACGGGTGACCCTCTCGATGACGGCAGGCTGTGCAGTAATCCAACCCAAGCGGCAACCAGGCGCAATGGTCTTGGAGAAAGTGTCCAATCGAATGACTCGTCCATCTGTATCTAGAGACATAAACGATGGCACAAGAGAGTCCAAAAACGGGTACCCGGACGATTTTCCGTGAGCACTATAATTTTGCGTGGTAAGTGGCTCGTCAATGGGTGCGTTACGGTAACGAGCTGCCATTCTTTGAGCTGAGGGATACTGCAAATTCCAATACGGATCGTCCTCAACGATGATAACGTCGTACCGCTGGCATAGAGCGTAGATGTCTTTCCTGCGATCGACTGACATGGTGCCTCCCGTAGGATTTTGACCAATCCTGCAGCCGCGTGAGAAAGAGCGGAACCGTTAGGTGCATCGCCTGCACCAAGTATTGCAAGGACCAATAACGATCTTGACTGTTGAACTTACGTGATGGTGTACAACAAATGAGGACGACGTCCTTTGCGGTAATCCCAGTTCTCGAGAACATCGGCCAGACCACCTTTGCCATATGCCAATATACCTTGGGCATCCATAGTGACCGCGGCTATGTTGAGACCACGAGGCCGAGCTGTTTGTATGGCATTCATGTAAACAAACTCCTCGCAGACGATGCCTTCGCGTTGTCGAATCGGGTCCCTATCTGGAGCCCAAATGTTTGTGAAAGTTTCGATAACTTTGTTGAATCCATCGGTCGCACCGCAGCTGAGCAGAGTTTCTGGACCTCCCGCATACGGCACATTGGGGTGTAGATGCTCCCTTGTGAAATTCCGAACGAATGATGCCATAGGAGGTAATCCCTGTGCCGTGCCATACTGCAGGGCAGTGGTGATGTCGATTTTCTTTTCCAAATCGTCCGTTTTGCTCTCTTTGGGGACAAGCACGCGGGTTAGCGAATCTGTACCTTTCTGCGGCGCCGATTTGCCGTTGTCCGGGCTAGGATCGAGACGCTGAGGATGAGCAACGGCAGCTTCTAGCGTGTCATACGGGAAATATGAAGCGTGAGGCATGCCTGGAAGATATGAGTCAAATGTATTGATTAAACTATATTATCAGAAAAAGCTCGCCCTGCATACCGCCAGAGAGGTTACCCATGCCCGGGATGACATAGTACTTGTATAATCTCTTGAGATTACTCGACTCACGCCGAACTGTAGTAGAGGAGAAGTGGTGCGACAAGTCCAATGGAGCGGGCAGCTCCATTTGCTTCAACCGAGCCATCCTGAGCAATCAAGTCCTTTCACAGCGACTTGATGGAGGAAATAGTGAATCGGGGAAAAGAATGGCAGGCTCCATGTCAACCGGGGATAAGAATCAGGGTACCCTGATAAAGGGACCATGGATCCTGCCCGTTATCTCCTTCTAGTCGACTACTGGAGAATCATCATACATGTCATGATTGATAAGCAGCGTCAACGGCTAGATAGTGGGCCATCCGGGGGCGCCGTTGCTGGCTCCCTGCCTCTTGGCCTCGGCAAACCCTACGTATTCTACCTACCTCATCTCTCGCGTGCGATTGCTAATCCGGCGAATTATTGGCCAGAGGACGGTAAAATATGATCAGCCTAAAGAATATCCACGGAAGCTCACGCGACGCTCGATTTGAATGAACAGTGGTCCAAGTCAGATATGTGATTACCGCTGTCGAATTGCGGGGCGTCAACGGTCAAACAAGCATGATAACACCACATCGACAATTAGATAGATGTTAGACTCTACTTGGCGGATATCTAACCAGTGTTTGAGGTGCGGCAATGGTCGGCAATTGTGTTACAACTGCATTGTGCTAAGAACGATGCAGATCTGGGGAAATCAAAAGCTCCACATTTTCATATGTTGATTGTCATAGTACCTGTCTGCATAAGTCAATCTGTATATACTCCGTAGTCTCCCCAGTCCTCTACAGAGAGCTATTTTATCCTTCTTCACCAGCGAATAACACCACTGCTCCCCAATCGTATCCGAAAATCTTGCTTTGCCACCTCCAAATATCTTTGCGCCACGAGCTTAGATAATCCTGTGTGATAGGCTCTTCTCAAGCCAGCTGACAGGGTGATGACTAAGGCCGCTGTCGATCTTCAGTGGAACAATGGCATCCCCATCTTGCCTGACTCTCACCTTGCCATCGTTCTATCCTTTGGATAACCCAGTATACCCTCATTATCATCTGTAACTTTGGAGGACATGCCTTTCTGTCCCGGAAGAGAATGAATGGTGCTTTTTCACTGGCTCTGAAAATCATTCTTTTTACTACTAGTCGTCTTGACCCCACTCCGGCCATCTTATCGGTTTAGATCGATTAGCCTTCTCTTTCCGCCGCCTCCCAATTTTGATATTGATATCTGTCGCTGGCTTGACATTTGTTTTATAGAGGCATCTCACAATGATTGGTGAAGGTCCGGAGGACGGTTTCCGAGTCTATATTCCACCAGTTGTCGACTCCGAGAATCGTGAGGCAGATCCCGATGCTTCCGACGACTGTTTGCTCCCTCGAGATGAAGAGACCGGCTCCAGTTATGTTCCCGTCTGGTTACGGGAATCCTCCAAGTCGTTTCGCTGGGGCTGGGTACCTCTGCCTATTCGAAAGGTTGGACGCGCTACTGCGAACTGGGTGAAGGGCCCGAGTCCTCCACATTCGCTGCTGCTGAAACCGCTATTCCCGCAAATCCAAGAGCTTCCGGTCCGGTATCTGGACAGATTGTTCCCTAAGCGGAAGCACAAGATCTCTTTACTTGTGCTCCTATATATCGCTTGGTTTACGCCTTGGACCATTGTTCTGCTTCACTCTCGCTCGGCTGGCTACATCGAGGGATATGGACGACCGCAAACCCTTTCGTGTTCGACGACCTTTTGGTAAGGATTCTTTGCTTGATATGTGTTTAAGAGCCTGTTCTGACTACCTACCAGGGAGCATGGAAATGGATGCGGTCTCAACGGGAACGATTGCCGTCCGTTTTCTGCCTCGACCGTTGCCTTCCGCTGCCCGGCAAACTGCCACGATGTCAAATTGTTGCAACCTCACACCGTTGGCAACCAGACCTACAGCTACCGAGGACTAGTCGTCGGAGGACCACAAGCAGATTCGTCCTTGCCCGGTGTTTACCGAGCCGATAGTTTCGTGTGCCAGGCCGCTATCCATGCTGGTGTCATTACGAACGCAGTTGGCGGCTGCGGTGTTGTGAAGCTAGAAGGAGCGGCACACTCATTCACTGCTTCGAAACAGAACGGGATTCAGTCTGAGGGCTTTCCATCAACTTTCCCAAAGGCCTTCAGCTTCGTCGGCCTGGATTCCTCCCAGGCTACTTGCCCACCAGATCCAAGATGGCCTCTTTTGGGCATAACCATTGCCGCCCTCGCACTTCTGTGGCTCTTCTCGACGTCGCCGCCGGTCCTGTTCTTTAGCACCTTTTTCATGCTCTTTTGCCAAGTGGGGTTGGTGTCTGATCCGCCGTCGATTCCCCAGTTCGCCGACCTTGTGTCCACTCTACTTGCGCGATTATTACCAGCATCGTTTGTAGTCTACGTGCTGTTCAAGTATTGCGCGCGTCCTCTCCTAAGGCCGCTTTCTCAGCCAAAGTTCCAGTTGACCAAAACATTCTTGTACTTGCCACCTGCTTTCATAGGCGCTTTGAACAATTACACTTTTGCGAGATTGATTCCGCTGGAGAGACTGACCCCTCATGATATTCAGCGGCAACCGGGAGCGAAATTGGCGCTGGCTCTGGTGATTCCGACCGTGCTCACAGTTATCCTCAGCCAGGCCTGGCAAATCCGCCAGGGTGGCTTGATGCCGCATTATCTCAAGGTGTACTGTACCATGGCTCTCATCCTCCTGATTCTGCTTCCACTACCGGGGCTCCGTCTTCGAATTCACCATTACATTCTTGCCATCCTGCTGATGCCGGGGACGGCATTTCCCACGCGACCGTCGTTGATCTATCAAGGGCTGCTACTTGGGTTATTTATCAATGGTGTGGCGCGCTGGGGCTTCGCATCCATCATTGAGACACCGACAGCTTTAGGAGAGCTACCGGGCTTTGACAGTTGGTGGGGGTCAACATACCCCAACATCACAGATGCGTCTGTCATTATTTCGCTTCCTGATGCGGGCTCGCCTGGGTATCGTGGAAACGGTAACATCACTTTCGAGCTATGGGAGAGGGAACGCATGGCTAAGCTCGATGTCGACGGAGTCAGTGTTTTGGTCAATGACGTGGAACGCTGGCGAGGGTACTTGGATGAGGATAAGCGCGGAGAATTCACCTGGCACCGACATGGACATAATGGTCTCGAGTTGTTGCACGGTCCTACGATTGAAAGTAGCCCGGACGCTGGCGTGGCTGTCACCGATGCGAAGGATGACGGGAAACCCGATGATCTCTTCTTCCGCTTCGCCTTCCTTCGAGGAGCTGAACCGGGCAAGTACGGACCAGCAGGTGTCTGGCTTGAAGACGGGTCGTGGCTCCCACCAGCGCCCCCGAAGGCTTAGATGTGATACCCTTATATATCGTACCTTGGTTTATGATTTTGACGAAAGACTCGGTTAGATGGTACAAACGATTAGATACATTTTGATGATAAGGTTGGATATTAGGCGCTGTTCGGATGATATTCGTTGACAAGATTATGATCTCTTATCCCGCGTTTGATTCTCAATTGATTTCAGTCTATCTCCGCATCTTTTTCAGACAGTCTAGTAGCAGTATTCTCGTCATACATCTATTCATCTACTTTCGTAGTTAACTTTTTCAAGCACAACCAGTCGCAGCAGCTCCCACTTCGGTCGGATAAACCGCCGTCTGACCCGGCTGCTCACACTGGCAACTCACGGTCGTCGTAGGAATGCCCTCGCTCGCACAGGCCGCCGGCGAAGTAATGCAATACTCAGCCGTGGAGGTGGCAGTGGTCATCCCAGCAGGACAGTTACTCGACGGCATGCAGAAGGTATCCACAGTCGACCGTCCAGGCAGCAGGGTCATACTATACCACTGATCCCTGGCACAGGAGCACGACACAACTATCATTCACATATTAGCCTTGCCTGCCTTTATCATCCTGCGCCCCCGGAGAAGGCGGAGAGGAACTCAAAACTCACCACTAATCGTCGTACTGGTCGTCTCACCCGCCAGCACACCCTCATACAGCGTCGAAGTCGCCCACGGGATCCCGCCATTCGAGCACTTGGTTGTAATCCAGCTCGCGTCAACGGGGTAGCATGTCGAGGCCTCTATGCAGTGGCCTGGGTGCCAGACGCCTGGGAAGTAGCCCGCCGAGCAGGAGATTGGGGGCGGCGCGCTGTAGCAGTAGGAGACCGGGGTGCCCATTGTGCAGTCTGTGGTGTGGATGAGGCTGGAGCCTGGTCCGCAGGTTGGGGTGGAGGCTGGGGCTGTGGTGATGGGGGCCGCTGTTGTTGTTGCTAGGGTTGTTGGTGTTTGGATTGGGGTGGGCGATGGAAGGGTCGAGGCCGAGACCGAGACGGCTGCGGCTGCGAGGAGGAGGGAGAGGATAGCTGCGGTCATTTTGATGGTGTTTGGCTTTCTTTTTTGGGCTCCTGAGTTGTTTGGAGTGATTGTGAGGGAGGAATCCTGAAGGGGAAGCTGTCTTTATAGTCTAGAAAGCTCTATGTCGGGTTTTGTTGACATGGTACAAGGAGGTAGTAATGCAGAGTAGTACCGAGCTATATTCGGCTCAGCCGTTCAGGGCTGAGAAGAGGATGAGTACATCTTTACGAGCTTATGAAGGCAAAATGTCTTAGACATACGGTGCCAGGGCTGTGACAGCACTTCAAGCAAGCTGTCGAAGCCACCCGCTCGACGTTTTGATTGGACCGTTACTAATGTAGGATGGATCGACGGCCAAGACTGCCCAACACAGGATTTGTGGTTGGTGACAGGGCGGCTGGGTGTCTCACTAAAGTCAGCTTGTCACGATGCTCAAATGATTCAGTAAGAAAATGATGATACTATTTTTAAAAGGCCACAGGCCAAGCGGAAATACCGGATTTCTCCAGTCTTGATTCAATTCATATATTCAACAGGACTTATCAGCTCATCGAGCGAATGAACATGACGCTGTCCAGCCACCTCCCTCAGGGACAAAGCGGTAGGTTGCAAAATGTACAGAAAAAGGGAAGAAAATTGACAACAGGAAGAATGGTAGAAAAAGGGGATATCCTGGAAATCAAGACGCGAGAACAAAATCTGATGTTAGTCAACATCCAAAGAGGGACTTGAGTCAGATGTTCGTGCAGAGCTGAAACATCAGGCAACAAGAACAGGGTATCCTACGTAGAAGAAAGAAGGCGTCTAGCTCCTTTGGTGAAGGTGGCCGTGGCCATGACGCTTATGGACATGGTGAACATGCTCTTCTCTCTTCACCGGTGTTTCCGTGGGGACAGTGACAACAGTGGAGACGACCCGTGTGGTGGTGGATGTGGTGGTCGACAACGTCTCTGTGCTACCGGTACCGGTCCCAAGGATGTTGTTCAGACCGTCAACCCAGACGATAATCTCCTGCTCGATATAGACAACCTCCTGAGTGACAGCACTCTGAATATAGGATGTGGTTGAAGTCGGAGTCCAGGTCGAGGTCGGCTTGCTCACTTGCAGGTTATTGCCAAAGGCGCTGGCATGGATCGCCAAGTCCGCAGAGACCGAGGCCACCGCTTCAGTGGCTGCACTGAGCGCGCTGGAGACCACGGAGCTGACGGAGGCCGCGACATCGCTGGCATAGGCGGGCCCCCACTGGACTGCGAGCTTGTTGGGAAGACCGCCGCTAGTCAAAGTCACCTTTTCGTTCTTCAAGGCGGCCGGCATATCGAATGTGCACTGTCGTTGCTTGTCCTCGCTCTGAATATCGAAAACGGCACAGTCCTCAACCTCGCCCGAAGGGTTGGTGCACTGCTCCACTGCCTGCTGCAGGACCCCCGATTCCCAGCCGTGCATGAAGTCGCCATGATAACCAAATCCTGTGGGATCGCCGTTGGCGATAACGAAGTAGCCCTCCTTGTCCTTGAACGCATATGTATCCCAGATGGACTCGTAGAAGAGTGAAACGACGCGTGTCTCGAAGCCCTCAGGACATGTACCGTCCATAACCAGCGAGGGATAGGCGACATGTGACTTGTGATCAGCCGAGTCGACATCTTTGCCGTTCCAGCACGAAGGGAACATCAACTCGAACCGGACGCCGTCGGTGCAGTGCTCATCCAGGTACGTCTTGTTGGGAAGGAAATGGCGGCCAAGAGAAGGTTCAGGATCTAGAGCGTAGTTTAGACAGTTGAAACCGATCGCCTTCTGCCGAAGAGCAGCCTGCGATGCTTGCTTGCCTGTCCATTGCGACTTGGGAGGGTCGGGGATCGGCCAGGGAAAGTCGCGCAGGTATGTATCGCCAGCAATCATGCGGAAGTTGTCTGGAAACGCGGTCACGTTCTCTCCGTAAAGCAAGTAATAACTATTGTCGACGCATCGTGAGCTAGTGCCTGCGTTTCAACTTGGAGACTACACTTACGCGAGCATGCCTCCGACCTGATTGACAACTTCGGCATCACCATTCTCATGCATAAAGTAGAGCGCTGGAATCCAGTACGCGGACTTGTCCTGAGTAACCGCGCACGAGGTACAGCTTGACGCCTTCAAGTCAGCCCCGGTAGCCGACATAGAAAAGCCTATCCAAGATGATCATCAGTACGAAGTGGAGTGCGTACAAGGGCCATCCCACTAACCGCCAGAACCATGAACTGCATGCACGTGGGACGAGGGCTTGCCAGGATCCATGAGAGGGTCGATTCTGGCGAGACCAGACCGTCCACGGCAGGGAAGACGCCAGAAGGCGTCAGTGAGACCGGATAAGGCCAGTAAACCGGTCATGAGGCCGATATGCAGCCTCATCATTCGAGCCATAATAGTCGCGTTTCTAGACTGTGATTTCGGTTTTAATTGAGCGGATCTGATGTCGGATTGTAACGAGAGAAATGGTCGGCTAGAGGCGCCAACAGGAGCAGTGAGTATGAACCAGACACAGAAATACAACCAAAAGAGTGTAAGAAAGGAATGAATGGCCCAAAAAGAGACCGTTCGCGATGTTGATGCCGTGGAAGTCGGGGGTACATGAGCTGCAGGTAGTATATCCGACAACCGCGCAGCAGCCGGCTGGAGATAGTAAATACCAAACATCAACGTCAACAACAACAATAACAACAACAATAGTGGCATAACTTGCACATTGCACATTCAAGGCACAGCGCACTGACCAAGGCCCAGTCAGGAACAAGCCCCACGGTACAAGGGAAGAGCTTGAAGTCGTTTCAACCTAAGTGGTTCATCTCAGGAACGGGAATGTCCCTTGCAGCGAGGGGGGGCAGCCACATTCTCCGCTACATCACGGCCCCACGAGGCGTACCAGGACAATCATAGGTAAAGAGAAAGAGTGATCAAAGGGTATTGGCCAGCTTGAAAGAAGGGGACAAAGTAGAGCAAATGGAAAAAGGTACATACCCTTCTGTTGAGGGGCTGTTCCTATTGGTCTTGTTTTTGTTGTATGAATTCTTGAAGGACGGAAAACCGGATAGACAATTCGATGTAATGTGGGCGAATGAGACTGGAATGCAGGACCTTTCAAAAGTCCTTTATGGAGGAAGTTGTTCGGTTTGAAATCTCGAAAAGCTCAGTTGTACTCTCAGACCAGCCGATCACCAGAGAGGCGTGGAAACGAACGATGAAAAGTGGGAGAAGAAGCAACGGTGCGACAGAGAAAGACTGAAATCCGAAGTGGAGTACTGAAAAGAGTGAACAAGACGACCAGAGCGTCTAAGAATGAATGAATGAATGAATGAAATAATGAGTGAAGGGGGAGCACAAGGGATGGTCGGAGGTCGAGGTAGAAGAAGACGTAGAAGAAGGGGAGGATTAGCCAGGGTCTATGAAGTATGGAGCATCCTCTCTATTAAATAAAGCACCTACGAATAAAAGGAGAAGATGTCTGGAGTACGAATGGAATGAACTTTCAAAGAGCCTAATTCGATTAGCTCTATGGAAACGACTGAGAGTCTTGGGTCTGAGCTTTTTTTTAGTGGTAGCAGTAATAATTTGTAGTCGCTGGCGATATCAAAATCCAATCTCTAGATATTAATGAGCGGCATAACCAGAGCCTTAAGCGAAGACGTTTACCAGAAAACCTTCCATCCGTCCCGTGCGTACTCTGTAGGTACTATTATTATTATTATTATTATTCTCAAACTCACCCTTTCTTTCTTGTCTTCTCCTTGAGCAAGAAGTTTGAAGACAATACGTGGTCGTGCTTGGCCTGGGACTTGCTAAGAGCCCAATAGTCCTCTGGTGTTTGACCAGAGCGACAATCACCCACACCAGAGTCAAATCCACACTATGATAGGAAGATCGTGTATCATGGCATCCACTTGACCAAGCCTCCAAGCTGCTCAATAATACCTATCAATGACTGGCGACGCAGACTATCGCCGATGGGTTCCCA